ACCACCACCCCAGGACTCCTTTGAACACAGTAGTTTGCTAATTTAGAGATAGCAGTATGAAATACATATTACACCTTCGCTGTGTATTCACTGTGACAACCAGCTAAAGGAGCATTTAATTTCCTAATCTGATCTGATCTCTGAAACCAAAGGCCTTACTTGTCAGTCATCTCAAACAGTGATACAAATGTTTATATCAAAATATCACAGTGTCTATCCACAGATATACATGTGTGTGTGTGTGTGTGTGTGTGTGTGTGAATACATATACATGAAGTCTTGGGGTCGCACCACACGAGAAGCACTGAACCTAAAGGTCAGTTTGAACTGCAAGGTTGGTGGTTCAAACTCACCAGTCACTCCTTGGAAACCCTACAGAGGGTCGCTGTGAGTAGGAACCAATTGTACTGTACTTGAAAACAACAAGACACATGTATGCATGTATGAGACCAAGTGTTGGTAAACATAAATAATGATGAGTTGACTGAGATGGGAAACCAACACCATCTTTAGGTTATACAGTAAGTAGCATGCAAACATAATTTGGAATATCCATCAATCTCAGTGTTCAAGTACGATTGTTGGTCACTAGTGATTATCTAAAATATATTGCTAAGCTGCACAATGTTGTTAAACAGTTGGATATATTATATATACCAATTCTTTGGTTCTAAAATGCACTGCTTTATTCTGTTTTTGTAATCTATCATTTTTATTAACTATTTTGGAATAGAAAAAAGAAGGTGCTGTTCCTTAACTAAAAATTCTTATATGATTTACTATTTTCATGCAGATAAATACACCATTTTCTGAGTACAGGTATGTGTCACATAATGTCCATGATACATTCTGTGAAATAAGACATTGTGCAGTTTGGACGTTGTGTGAACACCGTATTTAGACCTGACAGGACCTGCATCCAGTCATCCCTATTGCTGCTGCTGGAGTTGCCGGTGGAGGCTGGAGGCACGGCCCCGGGGCAGCCGCGGACACTGAGAGCGGCCGCAGGAGCAGACCGAGAGGAAGCAAGTGAGCCGCGAGTGAGGTGCGCCCAGCCCGTCTGAGCAGTAAGAGCAGCCCGGGCCCCACAGCCCTGAGAATCTGCACCCACGTCTGCCTCACCGGCCTATAACCCACCATGTGTGGGGGTGGGCTCTTCAAAACCACTGGGGGAAATGATCAACAAAAGGAGAGCTGCTTTCCTTTGAAAGAGAAGGACCTAATGAAACAGGAGCAGACACAGCAGCTGAATGATGTCTGAACAGACCTGCATTTGGACTATTGGTGTGGCACTGTAGAGTAAGCACTGGACTGCTAACCACAAGGTCAGTGGTTCAGATCCATCAGCTGCTCTTTGGAAACTACACAGGGTGGCTGTGAGTTGGAACCGACTCAGTGGCATTTAACAACAACAACAATAGCAACAACCTGCATTTTCCTAAAGTGTCTTTCAGCAATAATATGCCTCAGAATAAGGTGTTCGTACTGACATGGAAAAGGCCACAAGGAAGATGACGACAAATTATTTTTGTTTGTATTCTCCATATGCTGTTGTTGTTGCTAACTGCTGTGGAATTCTGACCCATAACGACCCTGTATAGGCTTTCCAAGAAGCAGCTGGTGAGTTTGAACTGCTGCCCTTGCGATTCAAACTGGCTTTGCGGTCTAGTGCTTTATCCTACAGCATCACACCAGGACTCCATTTTCCATGTACTTGAATCTAAATCTCAAATCTGAATTCTATTACCTAGATAGAGTACGGTATTTAAGATCCAATAATCATTACAGATTTCTGTCAATACTATAAGTGAGTTTCAGAGCCAGAACAGACCTCAGAGAGACGTGGTCTATTTGAACATGAATTCTGGTAAGATCAAATTACTTCTGCAACACATGCTTTTCACTTGATGGTGTGTTAGAGCCAGAATCCAGGTTCCCTATGTCCAACTCCATACTGAGGCCCCTTGTGGGCAGCACATGTCTGTCTGTGTCCTCGTATGAAAGCCATTCTGCTGGACTGTCCCTTCCAACTCCCAGTGCTGAAGCCCCTTGTGGGCAGCACCATGGGTAAGTCTACTATGAGACCAATTTGAAAGAGATGAAATAGACTGGTACTGGACATTCTGAATGTGACAATCACATGGTTTACTATACCAGGAATGACACAGTGAAGAGGAAGGGTGTTGCATTCATCATCAAAAAGAACTTATCAAGATCTATCTTGAAGTACAACGTTGTGATAGGATAATATCCATAGGCCTACACGGAAGGTCAGTTCATACCACTGTCACTCAAACACACCAACCCCTAAAGCCAGTGATGATGAAATTGAAGAATTCTCAGGCTTGGCAACGGCACGGGACCGGGCAGTGTTTCATTTTGTTGTGCACAGGGTCACTATGCGTCAGTGCCAACTTGATTGCACCTAACAACAACAATCACTTTGACCTCCAAGTGCTGAAGCCCCTTTTGGGAAGGAACCCTGATATGTCCTGAGACCAACTGAGCTGAACTGTCACTTTGAGAGCCTTGATAAAGTCGGAATTGTCTTGACACTACCAACAACGACAGCTACATAATGGCGCCCTGTATCCCTAACCAGAAACTCTCAGGCCCTCTCCTAAACGTTTGCTGTCCAGTCGCTTCCACCTCACAGTGAGCCCAAAGGGCAGGGGAGGGCAGCTCCCTAGTTTTCCCCAGACTGTAAGTCTTTACGGGAGCCATCAGCCTCAGCTTCCTCCTAGCTGGGGGATCTGAACTGCAGGCACTGTGGTTAGCAGTCCACTAGGGCTCCTTAATCTGCTTCCCTCAACAGCTTCTTTCCCCGTCCATGCTTAGAGCTTTGGGAATGTATGACAAGGGGCGCCTACCTGTCGAAGGAATGAAATTGCATCGGAAGGATGGCCTGGGCTTCTCTCTTCAGTGATGGGTCTGGGTAGGGGATGGGCTCAGGCCCACATTCTGCAATCTCCACTGGGGCGGCCACGAGACTTCTCAGAATCTCCTTGACATTGATACCTTTGGTCTGACTAATGCTAGAGATGGATGGGGCCGGCTTGAGCATCTCCCCGGGGGGCTCAGCCAGGCTCTCCTGGGATTTCTTCACTTCCGATGACAGAGTGGACAGCAGCTCACTCATGGCATCTGGGCCTGCACTGGGCTCCAATTCTGCCCCATTCAGGATGCTGGCCACCTGCTCCTCTCCGATTCCGGAGTCAGTGTGAGGGATGGAGCTCTCAGGTGGAATGTCTTCGCCAATGGTGGGTGCTTCTTTTTCCTTTAGGGTGTCTGGAAATGGAGCAGGTGCGTCTGCAGTGAAAAGGGGGGGAGGGGGGGAGAGGTTTAAAAAAAAGCTTCACAAGTGAAAACCTCTGCAAGATCAATCCAATATTCTCACATAAAATATAAAGAAAACAAACCTTGTAAGAAACCAAAGCTGTGTGTGTGTATGATACAAACTGATTTGAACAAATCCATTTACAGCTGTCAGTTTGTACCATCAGCACCAACATAAAGTTGTTCTTTCTATAAATCAGCTGCCATATCAAACTGGCACCTTTCAAAGCATCAGACATTGTTTCTCTATGGGCTGTCTGCAGCTTAGCAAGAATACTATATGAAGTTCTCCTCTTGTCCTTTCATTATTAGCTACTAAACAATCGTGCAAGGGAGTTCTTATGCTTCATTAAGATTTTTTTCCTTGAAAAGAAAAAGTCCTTTCTGTTTTCTTGGGTACTTCAAGAGCCAAAAATACAAATAAATTAGGTATGTCTAATCGAATCATTTAAAGCATCTTACTGCATCATTTAAAATGACATACGCATCATATATATAACTCTGAAGGTTAACAGCAGAATGCAGAGCAAGTTCAACAATCATGACAGATCAAAGGATCAAGACCTTCATAATAGAAGAATGAATCTCTGGAACTGACAAAGGCCCCCCCCTGACATTTAAGAACAACTATTTTAGAACATTCATGTTCATTCTTTGTGAGTAAAAATCTCTTTCAATGTATGAGAACTTGAATCAGATATGTATACATATATAACACACATATATACATATACACACTCACACATATATGCATCTGTATGATACACAATAATATCAATTAAAATAAAATAAAAAAGCCTTTAGAAATATGAAATTCATGTCAAATTATCCAGAGGTTAAGAACATTCCATTGGCCGCAGAATCAAGCATGATCTAATTCTAAACGACGACCTGGTTTAAAAGACGGTCTCACTGAAGATGGCATTCCCACGTCCGGACAGCGAGGTTGATAAGAGCGTTCACCTTCAGTCTCACTGAAGGAGACAATAAGACGCTAGGACATGGTGGCAGCAGTAATGCGTTCAAACGTAACACCACTGTGAGGACCCGGCTGTGTTTCCTTCTGCTGTACATGGAGCCCTTAGGAGTCGGAACCCACTCCAGGGCACTCAACAACAACATGAAGATGCTAAGCATAACTTTTAACCACACCTGCCCAAAGTAGATAACAAAGACTAGTCATGTGTATTACTTTAGCATGTGGTTCAGTATTCTCTTGGTAAAACAGAAGGGTAGACTAAATTACTTATAAGGTTTTCACAAACTTAAAAGATCTGCAAGTTCTCCAAAACTGTTCTTGTGTTTCCTGCTCATTTGTTTTGAAAGGTTATTAGGACACCAGGTCAGGAGAGGGCTCAGCAGGAGACTGGACTATCACATAGTCTCAAATGTTTTGTGCAAAATCTCTAAGGAACACAGAGAGTGGATGATACTACAGACAGAGAGTGGATGGTACTATTATTGGGGGAGACAGGATGAGCAAACATGTATACAGACCCCGCCTCAAAACTCAAGCTAATGGAAAGGGAGGTGTTTAGTCACCGGGCTCACTCAGGCACTGGCTACTGGAAAACAGCTTAATGTCATACCATTAAGAATTAGTGAGGATGTAAAACTACTAATTTTTCCCAGAATAATATAAGAATAGTTATGTCGCAGTTTTCAAAAGCAAGTCTCCTCTTCTTTATTTGATGACTCTTTTCTTTTGGTGCAAGTTGTGTGAAATCCACACTTTCATTTACAAATAAATAACTGCTTCATGTTAGTCCTTCTTCCCAGTACCCCAGGTTTACTAACAAACATAAATCTCTCTCATATTGTAGTCTTCCTCAGGTTTATCAGACAGTTCTTAGTTTTGCTTGTTGGTTGGTTAGTTTGGCCTAGAATGTCAGAGTTGAAAGAAGAAAAGATAAATAGGTGAATCATGGTAATAATATTCAAACACCATTTGAGGACAGATGAAAACTAGAGTGGGCTTATTCTGTGTTGGCTCCTACTTTTCTGAATTATAATAAATGAATAAATGGCTTCAGAGGAGAAAGAATCTTAACAATATTAGTGGCAAAGAACCAGAGAAGGAATTATTTAAGAGGTAAAGACCCCAGCTTGGATTTATTTTTTTTACAAACCCATGTGGCATAGAGGATTAAGACTTAAAATAATAGCTATGAAGATAAAAGAGGAAGGGACAGAATTAAGATACCTCTGACATACATAGCTTAAGTTAAAAAGAAAGTGGAGGAACGTGACATGCTGAAAAAGAAAGCATACGAGAGAAGCAGGTTGGATCAGAAGAACAATGAATTAAATTTGGAATCAATTAAGTCTGCAGTACTTCTTGGAAATTCAAACGTGTAGGTCAAGAGAAGTGGAGATATTTGCTTGGGGATCACTCTGACTGAGGTGCTAGTTGAAACTGGACATTAATGAAATGATGAGGAACAGAAAATGAGAAGACAAGGTGGCTGAGGATATTTCCCACTATCAAGAGAAGCAATGTGTCTATCTCATACATTCTGGTTAATAAATGAAGCATTTTCCGAAAGAAAACAACTGTGGCAGAAAACTCAGGAGCGGATGAAACAGCAGTAGTGACAATTCCATGACAGTAACACAGAGAATACAATGGCAGGAGCAAAACACATCGTCATGGTTACTAGCATGGGTGAACTTCTTCTCGAACAGCATTTAGTTATCAGAAAGCATATGGTCAAGTCCAGCAATCCGTGTGAATGTAGCTGATTTATAGATCTGGCCTTTGCCTTAATATGATACCTAAGTATTTTATTTATTGTGTGTGTTTACAGTAAGGGCTATATGAAATATTTAAATTTTTTAAGCTACTTTAGACTGAACTATAACAATCCAATTGCAAACAAAAGATCTAAGAAAAAGAATATCTTTGATTTGGTCGCATAAGTTACCACATTTTAAGACTATTTTTATCACCAGTTATACAATTTTTCATTCCTGTTCTGTTTAACTAATGGGCTCTCTCAATGGATAATGAGGGCTAGAACTTAGGATCTGTACACTTGGAATCCCCATATAGATCTTGACCTTGCAATTATAAAACAGAATATTAAAATATTTTGCAATGACTCATGCCAACCAACCTATTTGCACAGTACATAATAAGCTCAATTTTACTTTTACTACATCTAAAAACCTATTTCAAAAAGGAAGCAATCATTTTGCTATTTCAATGTAAAATTCTCTTCACATAAATGTCTTTTGTAAAGCATATCCTGTGATCACATTGTTCTTCTATTGAGAGCTGTTGAATTGGTCTTGACTCATAGCAACTCTGTATTGGGTTTCTGAGAAGCAGCTGGTGGGTTTGAACTGTAGACCTTGTGGTTCGCAGTCCACACTGCTGATCCTACAGCACCACACCAGAAGTCTGGTGATCATATTACAGAAGTAAAAATAAACATGAATGGGAAACTGTCTAATAGCAACTGCAAATAAAGTACAAATCGGGACTCAAAACCCTGTTCCTTTAATTTCTCACTATGACCTGACATCTTTAACAGAAGAATCTTTCAGTTGATAACATACATTTCAGTGGAGAGAACCAAACCTGCTTACAGAATGCATCATCACTGTAACACTGAAGTACTTTGACACGTTACGCACGTCACTTCAATTGGAAGTTGAGCAGGGTCAGCAGGGCACAAATACATGACTGCAGCTGTGCAGATGACGCCCAGTGACGGCGAGCTTGTAACTTCCCAAGGGTTTTCATCAGTTTCTGCAGTAACATCAGTATCCAAAACAGAAACACACCCAGCCCGAACAATCCTACCCGGTTCACAAACAGGCACGAGACGCCCCTTCTCTGACATAATCTCACTGAATTTTATGGGTTCATCCAATATATTTTGGGGAAAAATAGTGTGAAGTTCAGCAAATGATATGATGTCTATGTGATACATCCTCATTTGATACATCCCTGCCTCCCAAACTCTGGCTTTACAGTGATTTATGACGTTTCAGTATGCCTTACCTTTTAAGTCAATCAAATGGCTATTTTCCAAACTATCTAAATAAGCAGTAACATGAAAGAAACAGATCCTTGTTACATATTGAAGAGATATGAGTTAGTACGTAACTGAAAACTGCAATGTTTCTTCAAATATGAAGCAAATGCAATCACCATAGGAGAATTAAAAATATGAAAGCTGTGTATAACTAATTTACATATTTGCCTCATTTAAGTCTAATGTGGCAAATTAAGTAAGTCATAAAAATCAATATTAACACTTACCGTATATAACAAAAGATTAATCTGCACTGAGTAATTATTTGTAATATTTACATTTGTACACTTCATATTTGTTGCTGTTTGTCATAGTGAATGTATTAAAAGCATATAACTTCATGATACACAGACGAGATTGTAATCATTGCAATGAAACAATATGTGGAACCAATGCCCTCCCATGTAAACTATCACTCAATTCACACAAAAAACTTAAAAAAGAAAAAGAAAAAAATATTTAACTTCAGGAATTCAATATTATTACTAAAGGATATGCCATACACACACAAAAAAAATTAGAATTCAGAAGATCCCAATGAGAGCCAAGGAAGCTGACCAAATTGAATTTCCCACTAGGTCGTGTTAGAGAGGTGTGGGCCTCCTTTCACTAGGTCGGGTAGAGAGGTGTTGGTCTCTTTGAGTGTATTTAGCACACTCAAGATCTTCATCAACATTTCCAGCCTCTCTCCTGCTCTCCCAGTCCCCAAGAAAGGACTCCACTTGGGTGCTTGTTGGCAAACATGATGGTACATTTTTATTCTGTCCATTTTTTTTTGGTCCTGTTCCTCAGATTGGTGTTGGTCAGGGGTGTGCTGTGGAGCTGGTTCTGACTCATAGCAACCCTGCATGGGCTTTCCGAAGCAGTAAATCTTCACAGAAGCAAAAAGCCTTATCTTTTTCCCGTGGAACAGCTGATAGTTTTGAACTG